ATTATTATTATTATTATCATCATCGTCATCATTAAAGTTATTTACCCCTTGAGGCAGATGGCAGCCTGTCTAGAGCCAAGGTTGGTAACCTCAATCTCGTCATAGGTCGTGGCGTTGAGAGGGATGTACGGACTGCTCTTCATTCTCTTGTGGCCGGCCACTTCGCAGTTGGGCCGGAGGTACGAGCGTATGGTCTGGACAACAAGATAGAATAAAACAATCATAATTAAAACAGGAATACAATCAATGCAAACATGCGCATAAACTGGTTCACTCATTCACAGTTTGAGTTCATTTCAGTTCTCAATACTGTCACACAGTGAAAGACCATGAGTTCCTTTTTGTGTTTGCTTTCTTTTTTTTTGTTGTCCCGTATCCAGATTTCGGTGCCGATATTTGTAGGTTACATAAAAAGGTGCCCATACGGTGCAAATTGTTATGCTTCAAGAAAAACGAAACAAGAAAAAGGGGAATTGTTTTGTCTGTGATGATGATGATGATGATGATGATGATGATGATGATGACGATGATGATGATGATGATGATGATGATGATGATGATGATGGTGATGATGATGGTGATGATGATGATGGTGATGATGATGATGATGATGACAATGACAATGATGATGATGATGACAATGATGATGATGATGACGATCATGATGATGACGATGAAAAGACAAAAGTCCAATAAGTATGACGTGAAGTCTATTTAATCAAGTATCTCTATCTTTCTGATTAGATAGCCCATCCTACTCAGCTTTGGTTAGTTCTGACAGGCAGGGCTGAGATTGCCCACCTCCTTAACATCCTAAATGATCTAACTTGGTGTTGTTAAACGTTAAAAACTAAGTAGTTCATTAAAACTGGTAAGGGAAAGATGATTCATTTAAAAACAAAGACAAATATTCAATAGAAAACAGAAAAAGCAAACAGAATTTCAAACTTTTGATGCTAAAATGAAAAATGATCTAAAAATGGCAGACTTATACATTTCCCAAACTTTGGATGAAGGTTTGATATTAATTTAATCCAATTTCCAAAACTGAAGAAAATGTGATTAGTAAAAAAATAATTGATAACCTCTTCCGAATCAAATGTGATTACATGAAAGGCAATGAAGGGACTCGATGCTCCAAAAGGTAAAATCTAGAGTAAGTAAATTGAATACAGGTAAGAAAAGAAGCGAGGGTAAGGAGGAGGATAATGTAAAGGAGGAGAAGGAAGGAGGAATTCAAAGGTGGATATATAAAGGGAGAGGGGAAGGAGAGAAAGCACAGGCTAAAAAAGAGGAGGATAGGAGGAAGAAAGGGAGGGGGCAGGGGAGAATAAGGACAAGTTTGAGGGGGTAAGAGGAAAAGGAGTAGAAGGAAGATGAGGAAGGGTATGAGGAAGGGTATGAGGAAGAGGATGAGGAAGAGGATGAGGAAGGGTATGAGGAAGAGGATGAGGAAGAGGATGAGGAAGAGGATGAGGAAGAGGATGAGGAAGAGGATGAGGAAGGGTATGAGGAAGAGGATGAGGAAGAGGATGAGGATGAGGAAGAGGATGAGGAAGAGGATGAGGAAGAGGATGAGGAAGAGGATGAGGAAGAGAGAAGTAGGAACAGGAAGACGAAGAGGACAAAGAGTAGGAAGAAAAGGAGAAGAAAGCAAAAAAACCCCCAAAAACCCAAAACCACAAAGAGCCATATTACCCAGAGCAGATCAGCACAGGCCTCACAGATGCCACAGTCCCTGCACCCGATGACCTTTGTGTTGCAGCCACACTGGTGGCGGTAGAGGCCCCCGATGCCGTTGTAGGGACATTCGTAGCCTTTGTCGCAACAGCGGCCACACAACGTACACAGCGTCTGCCGGAACTCGTCGGTAGACAGGCCCCAGTTGTGGATGCAGCCAATGGAGGAGTTCACTGAGGAGAATGACATTGACAATTTTTGTTCATCTCCCGCGCAGGGAGAAACGACAGTCTTACAGGGAAAAATGACAATCTTTATTAATCTCACAGGGAGAAATGGAAATCTATATTCATCTCACAGGGAGAAATTACTTATTAATCTCACAGGGAAAAATGAACATCTTTATTAATCTCATAGGGAGAAATAATAATCTTTATTCATCTCGCAGGAAAAATGACAATCTGTATTAATCTCACAGGGTGAAAAGGAAATCTTTATTAATTTCACAGGGAGAAATAACAATCTTTATTAATCTCATAGGGAGAAGTAAACATCTTTATTGATCTCACAATCTTTATTCATTTCACTGGAAAAAATGACAATCTTTATTCATTTCACTGGGAAAAATGAAAATCTTTATAACCTCACAGGGAGAAATGAAAATCTTTATTAATCTCACAGGGAGAAAAGGAAATCTTTATTAATCTCACAGTGAGAAATAATAATCTTTATTCATCTCACAGGGAGAAATGAAAAAATTTATCAATCTCGCAGGGAGAAAATTGTCTTAGTCATTAACACTGGCTTTGGTGGCCTAGTGGATAGGCTCTCGGACTCGCAACCGTAAGGTCGTGGGTTTGAATCCCGTCAAGGGTCCGACGTTGTGTCCTTGGGAAAGGCACTTTACACGAATTTTCCTCACTTCACCCAGGTGGGAATGGGTACCCGGCTACAGACAGCGAAAGA